CCCCTGGATTTGCCTCCACATTATCTCAGTAAGGTCAAAATCAGTTCAACATTACGTTGGCAAGTCCCCAAATTTCGGGAAAAGTTAAAAAACAATGATATTTAAGCTAATTAAATTTGACCGTTTAAATATCATTTTTTTTAACTTTTCCCGAAATTTGGGGACTTGTCAACGTAATGTTGAACTGATTTTGACCTTACTGAGATAACTTGGAGGCAAATCCAGGGGAAATTGGCTTATTTCGCGGGAAAATTGAATGACCTTTGAATTGACGTATTTGGGGGTCCGAGCCCCCCCTTAAAATTAAATCGAAGTGATTTTTGCAATTTTTACTTAAAAGCGGACACAATTTGGTAAATTTTCCCGTTTTATTTTTTCCTTTACGATAATTTGAACCGGAGTTATGATTTTTTGAAAATAGGTCAAAGTTGACCTTTGATCTATCATAACTCGGTCAAAAATTAAGATATTGATCTGCAATTTGCGCCAAAATTCTTAGTTTTTTATGCTCTTTCGAATGAGGTATCACAAGGTAGGGGTTGCCATTTGAAAAAAAAAAGTTGGGGGGCCCCGGCCCCCCCTGAGGGGGGACCAAAATTTTGACCCCCCCAAAAGATGGTCCCCTTTGAGATAGGAACATCCCCAAAGTTTCATTTTCCTAGCTCAATTCGTTCAAAAGTTAGAGGGGGGGGGGTCGGGGACTTTTCGCTCACCCTGTACACGGAGGTCCTTGTTCGCACAGAGATATGTTTACGGAACTTAAATTTCGCGCAAAGTTCCGTGAAATTTTGCTAGTAAAGTTGACAGGGCTTTCGCAAAAGATGAACTCAAAACGAGTAGGAAAACGCGTCTTATGCACCCCTCCCCTCCGGCACGTTCACTTGATGGTTTTTATTGTTGTTTCAAAACGAATGAGATGGGGGCGGCAAAAAACTGGCGGCCCATGGGCGGCAAGTAGGTAAATCCGGTCCTGACCAACCCACAATAATTTGAAACTGACAAAAAGACGTTTGTAGTTTTATTCCTGCATAAGGCTCAATATAGAAAATTAACTTTAACCCCTTTTTTCACAGACAAATTTCTGTTTTTAGATTTTCAGTTTTTGGCAGGAGGAAATATACGGCTAGTGGAACTCAAAAACATTCTTAACTCAATTTTTTCGAAAATGTAGGTTAATTCCCTTCTGAAAAACTCGGTCCATTTAAGGTTTGTTACACTCACTTTTTTGGTGTTTAAATTTTTGCATTTTTGGCATACATTAAGTAATTTTTCATCAAAGCATGGAAGTAGCATCACCTTAAAGCCAAGATATTCCCGGATTTCTTATTAGCCCTATTCATCCTAATTGCAGCACTTAGAATTTGCTTTCTACCTCACTTCACAGAGCACAGACAACCTGAGATAAGCTGGGCCCCTAATTTCCATTTAAGCCTAAATGACAAGCGCACTCCTACTACATTGTCACAACTCACAAGTGAGTAAAATGGGTGAAATCGAGCGTCTTGAATGTTTACTCGTCTCAGATAAAAAACAAATTAGGGAACCATTACCGGGGCACGGAAACCATGCGTATGACCGCCTATATCCGTGGATCCAACATTGCTCCCCGACCCCATTCCAGGAAAAAGAGCATCGCTATTTGTTCAGTAATTAGCGATGGAATGCTAGTGCCCCACAATCGATTGAGTCCGACGATTTTTTACACGTTCTAGGCTGTAATATCGATTTTTCGTATCGAGGAGCGAGAGTGTTGAAAAGATGGGTGCGTCACTTGCCGGCGTCATGCTGTCTGCTATCTTTACCACTGTGTTGTCGGGCTGGGCTTTCATTTTGTTTCATTTTTATCTCGCCATAATTTCCGAATGCTTTCATCATATTCCCTCCTTTTTTAAAGCAACAAATGTCCAAATTTAATTTATTTTTTCTTTTTTTGTACAGTTCTATTGATCTCTTTTTTCTGAGGTGTGAATAAGTATATCGATGGTGAAACTACCTGACCACGTATCTCGATTGCAGCGTTTAAAAATCTCCACTCCCATTTTATACTTTTGAAGAAGAACAAATCATCATCTTTCCTAGACATTTTCACAGATTTTTCTTCGCACAGAGAGGAAAAACCCGGAAGTTTTCAATAATTGATGTCGAGTAGTTTTTTATGTAAATAATAAAGTATGACAGGAAGTCTACATGCAACGTCACAAACCGAGATACGTGGTCTGGTTGTTTCACCGTCGATATGCAGTCTTAAGGCACTTTTGAATAGATGTATCGACCAACCATAAAATAGCAACTGTTTTAGAGTAATCTGATATTGCTGATGCAGAGCAGCCGAAGCATATTGATCAAATTTGGCTTCTGCAGGGGTCGAACACCAGTTCGAAGCAAAGTCACCCCTTCGAAAATGATTCACACAGCAAGATGTTTGAAAATCAACTTCTATAATAGATTTGTATTTTTTATCGCTTGCGATGGTACTATAAATACTTAACTATCATAATATCAATGAAATAATACAATTGATGTCAGGATGTGATAAACTGGTAGAATAATGCTATGGGTCCACATCATTTTGCGGGGGAAGCAAGGCCAAAAGATTCCGAACATTTCAATTACAGTAAAAAATTGATCTAAAGTTTGGACTCAGCATTATTAAAACACCTTGTTACGTACATTTCGGGCTACACTTATTGTATTTATTTCCTGTTAGGATCTGTATGGTTTGTATTTTTTATGAGGAGTCCCATCTACGTTTCCTGCAATTCACCTATGACTTTGCCAGGTACAGTCGTTGCCAACGGCAACGGTACGTAGGCAACGGTACAGTGAAATAAGAATCGTTTATTCGGTTTGATTTCAGTTTCACTAACAATATCACATTGCTACTGGGATCGAAATCATTTTTACCACAAAAGTAACAATATATAAGTACGAAATACGACCAGAAAAGTTTATGGGACCTAAATCCGCTGTGATCATTGTTAAAGCAAAGATCATTTTTTCTCCATGGTGGCCGATTTGATGTGACGAGACGACACCTCGTGCAAACTTCACAGAGGAGAAAAAAAATCCTGATGCTTAAGGTCTTTTTAAGAACTAAGGAGGTAGGAAGTATATAGGTGCAAGAAGACTCTTGGGGCTCTGAGGACTTCTTTTTATCACATTCTAAAGAGCCCTTGATCAAAATTGATTAGCTCATTGCTCGGAATTAGTCGCTACTCTGACGTAAGGACGTACCTCTGTCTCCAAGTGAGCCTCGGAAAGCATTAAGTTATGCGAAGAACAGGGCTTAAATGAAAATTGAGGTACGCTTTTACGTAAGAGAACAACAAATTGGACGTGTTTTGTGCATTTTGATGGAGGCAAATTATGAATCATTTAAAGCAGCATATAGCTCCTATGCCAAGACGGATTTATGCTTAAGAGAACTATGTGAAAATAAATTAATGGTGCTCTGCTTTGCTGTGTTCCGTTTTCATCTGATCAGTTCGCCTTCAAAATTTAAGTAGGCAACGTGAGCGGCTCAGGAGCAGTAGTGGTAGTCGCATGCAATGATTTGTCCACTTTCTTTCGTTTTAATCTTAGATTTTGCGCATTACTTCACTCCTCTTTGCTATGTTCCGTGTTCATTCTGATCAGTTCGCCTTCGAGATTTGTGTAGGAAATGTGAGCAGCTTAGGAGCAGTAATAATTGCACGCAGTAATTTTTCCTCGTGCCTGAGTTTTAACAATGGAATTCGCAAAACAATTAAGAAGGAACTTTATACACAGGATTTATATCCAACATAGTTCCTTCCAATTTTATTCATTTTCACATACTTTCCTCCTAAAAGAAATACGTCCTTTTGATGGTAGGTATCTTCCTAACTAGTCTACAATCTTAGATCTCTAATCTTGCTGCACTCGTTACTTTCAAGTTGATTACATTTTGAAATCAGGAACTGCAAACTTTGACTCAGTTTATGAACAACTATCAAGAATTTCCCTGTTGGCGTTTTTACAGATGAGCAACAAATTGTAGTCTCCAATTGAAAAAAAAGTTTAATTTATGATCAAATATTAGTGTAATAACTACCAATTCCGATGACCTCGATGAGCAGCAACCATCCGTTTGATGAGCCTCGAAAATGAGGATTGGGCTCACGAGAAAATACCAATTCACTGGATTGGATTCCCTGGTAAAAATTGGCAGTAGAATCTGTGTTCCAAAATACCATAGACCTAAAGCCGGCTGTAAGATTTTCAATAGCTTCTGTAGCCGGCTGTACAATTTCTTATAGCCTTTTATAGCCGATGGCGATTAAGCAACAGTCAGACGATAAAGTTTATGCCAAACGTTACTAAATACGGATACTAGGACTTAGTTAGTTGTTGGACTACCGCTCTCTTTTTGTGCCGTAGTGCCTTGATTTATTTTGCGAGGAAAGTGCCGTACTTTTGAAGGATGCCTGTCATTCTTAATATGTTGGAGCGCCTTCAATTTCTTATGATACTGTGCAATACCTCTGGTGTGAAATATTTGTTTCAGACGCCGTGGCACGCTGCGGCGCGGCGGTGGGCGGGCAGAGAGCGCGAAACGCGCATTAGCGCCTACAAACCTAACAGGGATACTTCACGCATTGCGCAATGCGTGAAGTATCCCTGTTCGGTTTGTAGGCGCCAGTGCGCCGCCGCTCCGCTTTTTAGGCTCTAATATTTAATCTCGCGGAGTTAGCGTTTTTCAACTCATGATTTTGAAATGTTTGCACACTCTGTATGGATTATTCTAATTTTAATTGATGAAAAAAAATATGTTTTAAAGGAAAATACAATGTGTGTTTTGTAAATATTAAGGTAGTTCCGTATCAAACTTAATGATTACCAAAGCACACGAATTTCTACACAATTTCTCATAGCCTTTTATAGCCAATGGCGATAAAGTGTAAAGCCCGGCGATAGGAACTATAGCCCGACTGTATACTTTTTTATAGCTTTGTATCGCCCGGCTTTATGATTTGCTCCGCTTTCTATAACCAGCTATATGATTTTCAATAGCCTTCTTTAGTCGGCTATAAGAATTCCTGTGGTATTTTGAAACGCAGCTCCTATCGCCAATTTTTACCAGGGTTCAGATAATCTATCCGATAACACACAGAAATACGCCTCGTTTGTGAGATTTGTGAAGCCTAAATACAAGATCTAATCAGAAATTTATTCCTTTTGGCGCTATTTTCCTTGTAAAAAAGTTCTGGCTCCTTCCTCATCAGTTCTTCTGTGATATTTGAATCAAAATTGAGAGTATTTTTGCTAAAGGGAACCAGAGACGGGTGGAATAAAAGGAGTGTGCTCGTTAGTCAACGGTTGCAAGAATGATGAAAATTATAAAGCGCAAGTGACGTCAGCCGCGACGACAGGGACGCGGAGATTCAAGTTGACGCCACATGTAACTCATGAGCCCTGTCCACAACGCAGTTGTAATATCCTCACGGATCATGAGTTAGCATATTTTGGCGCTTAGTATTCCTCTTGATTTAATGTCAATTCCCATTTTCCCATTTTCCCAAAAAGAATATGTCAGTTGCACTGGACGCAGAATTGTGTTTTGATACTCAACTCTTGAAGATCAACGAAAAATAATGAGATTTGTTCCAACAGCAACTTTCTGCATTCGATATTAACCGAGATGTCGCTCTTTGAAAAGTCGGGTTTTTGACGTCATCCACCACGGTAGAGACACCTTCATTTTCTTCCACCTTGCTTTCATCCGAGTTTCATGTCGAGTATAACCAGTACCAGTGCATGTCTCCCTAACTGATAACACTAAGGTGGATAAGAAACCAAGGGTGTCACCACCGCGGTGGATGACATCATAAACCGAATTTTTCAAAGCGCGATATCCCGGTTTCATATTCAGTAGAAAGTTGCTAATTGGACATATCTCATTGTTTTCAACTGATGTACAAGAGTCAAGCATCAAAACACGATTCTGTGTCCAGAGCTATTGACTCATTCCGCCCAATTTTACATCGTTTCTCGTGCAGCTCAAAACGAGCACACCCCATTTTTCCCACGCGTCTTGAGTTCTTTTTAGCATATATTTGATCATTCATCTGAACTTGGCGAGAGCAAAAAGACAAATCGTCAGAAAAACCGGTCGGAGCCAATTCTGAAGTGGCTGAAGATATTACGGTGGATTGGATCCTGCTCTCGTAGTCAGGTGATACCCGGTCTCGGGTAGGTATGACAAGCGTCGATTCTCGTCTCGAGTGTTTTCGGAACGGCAGATGAGAGCCGTTATCGGTGCTTGCAGCGATCCCAGATTAACGCATTCGAACTATATAATTTGACCAGGATTTGGTTTCTTCTCGCTCTCGAGGCGGATTCCCTTGTTTTTCCGCGCTCTGAGTGGGTGGCAGAGCTCAAAACTGGCACGAGCTCCGCTTGTGACTGCATCTCGACATGGACCCATTGAGTTGGGACTCCTTTGAGGTTAGAGACTCTCGCGTTGATGGGGTGACGGTGGGTATCCCAGATAGAGGGGAACTGACCTGTAACACGTAAACACTTGAGATTATCGACTCGATGCGAATGAATTTTCCAAGGAAATTAATTAGGCACAAGTAGGCAGAGGAATGCTTCACATTTTATGCGCTCCCAGAGGCACGTGTTCTGAGAAATGTGCTAAAAATGGACTACATTTTGCAATAAGGAACTACTATTTTTGGCTCATTTCAGTGGCAAGTTTGAGTTTCCATACGCAGATAGGTGTTTCTTTGGTTAAGCCAGAAATAATAAGTACATACTTAAGAGTCGCTCTCACAGCGCTCTCTGGCGCTCTGCGACGCCTAACCGCCACAGTTCCGGGTCCTCTCAAAACCTGTTGAAGAGTTGGTACTCTCTTATTTGGACTGAGTTAAGCAGAAAGGAACCAACCCACATTTTGGAAAAAATTGAGTTATGAGTGGTTTTGAACTCAACCACTGCTCTTCTATCTATCGCCAAAAATTCAAAGTTTTTGTTGGAACAAATTTTGCAGAAATTGAACTTGAAGTTTATATTTTACATTGAGTCTTATGCAGGAGCTAAACTTTAAACCTCTTTTTCTTGGTTCGATCCCGATGTGGCTTGGTTCCTTTCTGTTTATCTCCGTCCATTTCATTGAACCTCCTGTTACCAATTACGCTGGGCGTCCCCTTCGTCTCCTCCCTGAGGGAACCCAATCAAGCATCTTGTTTGGAAGCCTTCCTTCTGTCAACCTGTTATAACATGACCATACTAGAAAAGCTGTTTGGTCATAATGTCGAATACAATGTCATTTTTGACTTCCATGATCTGACGCACTCCATCCTTAAGGGTCGAATCTCTCATAGAAATTCTTGCCGACCTCCACCAGGGATCTATATCCGTTGCTCTTAGCATATCCTGTGTCCGTTTCGGACAGGAAACACGTATGGAACACGTGTCTAGATGATCGAGGAGTTACCTACCTATAAATAGAGTAACATTTTCAAGTTAAGGCTTTGATATGAACGTCTGTGGGCCATGTCTTGGTAGGGGTGGGTTGAGTTTCCCAGATATGACGGAATGGCACTTGCAAAACACTTGAGATTCTGAGCTTGTTAGAGATGAATTTTTCGTAGAGAAATCAATCTGGCACATGTAGGCAGAGTAATGCTTGAACTCTCTCGCTCCGCAGAAGAACACGTGTTGTGACGATATGTATAGTACCATCCGAAAATCGTTTGTGTAATATTATGTAGCAGTGTCACACAAAATCTCCGTCAATTTTGGACGTTGAGACTTCGCGTTTAAACAGGTCTTACTATTTCTCGATAACCTCCAAGCTTGAACAATCAAAAGACGCTTCTGCGACTGTAGTGAAACTAACCCATTTCGACGTGCCATCAAGCTGCAAAACGACTAACTCGAAGAATACATATTATGTTTTTAAATACAGAGAAATGCATTTCCACAGAAACTTTTATTAATATTCAAAACAGATCGATAGTTGTTTTCGAAAATGGAATTAACTTTTACTAATGTAGATCAAGTGAGTATATTTTTGAGGCTTATTGCTCTTACATAAGTCGAGAATGTTCTCGCAATCCCTAAAATAAAACTAACACCGTACGGTAATAAAAGGAGCGAAAGTGATCATGGAGTGATGCTTTCAGCTTGCTCTTAATACTGGAGGAGCGACACCACTTTAAACGCAGACGACTTATTGACCTTGATTTTTAGGTGCCACTCAATCGATATCCAAATCACGAGTACGTACCCTTGGATCCAAACTTCACATATTAAAAAGACTGGAGTTAGAAAATTCCCAAACTTGTCGGAACAATGATTTGCAGCAAGCGCATGAACTTCATCACTTTGAAGTAACCGAGTACTTAAATGGTTAAAAATACACGAAAACTATTTGACGTCAATTTTTTGTTGATATGTTTTTGACCAAAATTTTATCTACCTACTCTAATAATTTTCCTGAGAAGAGCGTCTCAGAAATAAGTTTTAGCCTAGGGGCGCAACATTCTGAGGGGCAGAAATTATTATTATTGAGAATTCATGGCATACCAAAACGTCAGCATCGGTGTATAAATAAGTTATTCTCCATGTCTTTTGTCAATTTTTACTTTACGAGTCTAGCTTTTTTCGAGGCATCAATGTTGTTACAACTAGTATCTCAACAGTGTTTGCAGTCGGTCTTTCCCCCTTTTTTTCTTCTATTTTCTGTGATTAAAGTAACTTCATGCCCCTCTGCTAGAACTGGAAGAACATGCTCAAATTTGTACGGGAAACTACTGCTGCTCCTATGACGCTCAAATTGTCTGTCAAGTCTTTGAAGGCGAACTTGTCAAAGTGATCTTAAAATACTATTCTGTGAGAAGGGTAATTTCATGGGTTCCCGCAATCGGGACAAAATGATAATGCTGAAACCAATCCGAGTATTGTTGCAACTCTCAAAACGGTGACATTGCTTATCAAAGTTTGTAAGAAGAAACGGGTCAGAGTAAGCTAGAAGCATTGTAAATTAAGTTACCTCACGTCCTCCTCCAGCTAGAACCGAATGAACATGCTCAAACTGGTACAAGCAACTATTACCACTCCTAAGACGCTCAAATTGCCTGTCAAATTTTTGAAGGCGAACTGGTCAGAGTAGGTAAGCGTCAAGTATTTGGGCTGGATTTGAAATCAGGCTACATAGGCTATTGCCTAAGAGCTCAACACTTAGATAGGCGCAACATTTTTGAGACTGCGTTTCAAAACGTCAGTACCTATGTATTAAAAGTGTAATTCTTCGTGTCTTCAGTGACTTTCTATTTTCAAAATCCGGTTTTCCGGACATAGAATTTTTGCTAAAATCTTGCTTTTAAAGGTGGAATTAAACAATTTTCCCAGGTGCCTTTAATCCTCCTTTTCCAGGGAGGAGGATGGTTCGCTCCCCCCCCCCCTTCCGAGAGTGTCTACTTTTAGGGCGCCAACCAAAGTTCAACATAACGCGCCAAAAATGAAAACCACACGGAAAAAATTAAATGTTGATTTAGCATTTAAATTGTTGAAAAAAGCCCGTCAAGTTTCAAATGCTGATTTTACAATACAAAAATGCGATCACAACATTGGAATTTGTTCGTTTTACAGGGGGCGTAGTTAAGTTAGCATTTCTTCAAATGTAAAATCAGCATTTGAAACTTGTCGGACCTGTTTTTAACAATATAAATGCTAAATCAACATTTAATTTTTTCCGTGCAAGCCCTGCCTACAAATTCCTTGCTCTTTTCGAAAATTTCACTTCCTGCATACACCATTTTGCCGTGCTAAGGAGAAACGCTGTATGAGCCTTCAGACGTCGCCAAAGTCCTTTAGATAAAGTACGAATTTCCCAGGGCAATCTGTCAATATTTTTCTCCAATTTACAGAGAATTTCATTCACGATCAAATCTAAACTATCTGAAAATTTCTCAAGATAAAATATTCATAACGCTCCTAAATAATTTGGCAACTCGAATGTTCATACGGCGTACTTCCTTCGTACGGTGCGCGGCGGCATTCTCGCCTTCAAAAGAGCATAACAGAATAATGGACCACTAGACAAGGTACGAATTTCAGCATTCTGATACGTGTTTCTTCACCAAAATTTCACGTAAAACACGATGCGCACAACGAAAATTACCGAAATCAACTCCTTCTAAAGACATTTTATGATTCTTGGAGCGTGAATTCAAACCACCCGCTCATGAAAACTCAATGGTCTACGTGATTCACATCGTGCGCTAAACGTTATCATGAACGTCTCTGCGATAAAAAAAATCTGGCAACCTCAATCTTGACACTTGGCTCAGCTATAGCGAATTACTTATAGTTTGAAAAATACATGGTGGGAAATGAACATTGCTCGATTGAGAAGCTTGCTGAAACCGTTGTAGTGCGCGATTTGACTCACGTAGAGCTTTGAGTTTCTTGTGACCGGGCAGTTCAAATTCCTCGTAACCAATGTGAAATAAAAATGTTAACATCTCCGTTAGGAGTTGGTTTCAGTAATTTTCGTTGCGCGCATTGTGTTTTACGTGAAATTCTAGTTAAGATACATGTATTAGAATGCTTAAATACGTACCTTGTCTAGTGGTCCATTCTTTACAATTGAATCGACGTATGTGAAAACGCCCGTTGTCCAATACAGGGTTTTTCATAATTGCGGTATGGGTTTCTTTTGTTCTACAACACTGATGAATAGGATCGATCTCTTTTGTAAACGTTTAATTACACTTAGGAAATTATTTATAAAATTGTTCTACATTCCTGACGTCTTCAACCATCTTGTGTCGTTAAGTTACAACAAAATTATCCACCCAAATTCTGAAACACTGTCTTGGACATCGGACGTTTTCGCAACGTCGATTCAATTATATTTCGTATCAGTTGAGATCAACTGAATTTTTGTAGTTCATAATAGGTATTAAATATGCTCACTCTTGATTGATCCTTGGTTTTTCTCTGGTTCTTTCCTATTCTCCGGTGGTGCCGGGTGCCCTTCTCCATTCTGTCAATTTATCTGCATTTGCTCTAACGCCTACGCCGCCGATATCACGCGCGTTTTACTTGATCAATGTCACGGAGCCGAGACGCCGACGGCAGATGAGCCCTGAAAATTTAAAGAGGAAGATAACGGCTCATTGAACTCATCATAAAAATACCCGATCACGAAATTGAGTTGCAGGTGGATGAGAGTGCAATGACGGGTGTTAGAGAATAGCAGTAGCTTCCAATTTGAATTGATTCATTTGTACATTTAATAATATTTGGTTATTTTCAAACCTTTCTATTTTAAAAAAGAACAAAAAATGGGTAATGTTTGTAAAATTCTAGATTGTCATCGTATGTTTCCATTTAATTTAAGATTTTTCATTTAGAAATCAATTTTTGCTTATTATTTAAAGTCATTGATTTTTTTATACCTCCATTCATTGTAGCTTCAAAATAGGAAACAATTGAGTATGCAACCTTAGCACAGTTTTTTTTCCCCTATCAGTTGTTTTTTAAGCTTTGTATCCAAGGGATACTGCCTTGGCACAGTTAATTTCCTCCTGTTGGCCTCCTGGGGTGTAGTGGTTGTAGCATGTAGCCCTTGTTCTATGATCGGGAAATCCCGGGTTTGATTCCCGGACAGGTGACTCGAGTTTGATAATTTAAACGATTACTTGGGACTGGCATGATTAGGGACTGAGGTGGTGGGACTTTAGGGCACTGTAAGCGTGAGACTATAACCTCAGGGATATTTGAAGTAGAGAGAGAGAAAAAAAAGCCTACCTAAAAAAGAATAAAAAAAGGGTTACAAATTTCTAATTATCTTTTTCTATCATTTTGAAACGTCATTGACTACCTTAAACTTATCAAGCTGTTTCCCTCCACTGGAATGAAAGAGATTATATAAAAAATATTTCCTTTTAAAAACAAAACAATTTTAAAAACAATGCACCTCAAAACTCCAATTTTTAGCCTCACAACATTAGTGCAAATTTTTCATGAGCCATTTGAGATACACACGGAGAAGAAAACTTCTTGCATAAGACCTAAAGCTCGAACCATATAGATCTCTGAATTTTTTAGATCGAGCATCGGAAGACTCGAGTTCCAACTATGTTTTGGTCAAACATCCGAAGTTCAGTTAACCCAATTGAAGTTTCAATCGAAATATCACCGAAGTGCCGAAGTACCTCAGATATTTAACCCGACCTTCGGTAGCTTAACCTAAATACGATCTCAAAAACTTCAGAGATCCAAAAGACCCTAACTTCGGGTCCATGCACGAAGTTTTCTTCTCCATGGCAATTGAATATTCGAACATCCGAGAATTCGTCATTCTGTCACTAATTATTTATAATATTTTGTGATTGATTTTTTGTTAAGAGCTTGATAAGGACTTCAACTGTTACTTCCTCTTCTGCCGAGAAAGACGTAATGCATACATAAAAAAAGACTTAAAAGATTAACATTTTTATGATAAGCCATCTGGCAACGCAAATTTCTCAAAAAATTCATCTCATGAGCTATCGAACGAGTGCCTTATTATGAAATTCATCTGCCGATTTCAAGAGTCTCATTGTCAGTGCGATTCCCCTCTATTTTTACAATCTCTCAATTGGACGTATTTATGATAAAAGGAACTATGTTACACGCAAATCCTATGCGCAAAGGTCCTTTTAGCATAAATACGTCCAATTCTGTGCGGACTTTCCACTGATGAGTGCTCGCTCCCTGTTCTTTTCTTTGTTTTACATGTTTCGGAGTATCATATCGACACTTCTAGTCCGCAGCGATAAATCGCGAAACACTTAACGCATTAGGTAATTTCAATCGAGTGTTGAATAATGTTGCTCCCAGAGAGGTACATAGGGAGCCGTATTTGCGCAGTTCAATCTGCAAGACTTATTTTAGTGGAGGCTGCTATCTTGTCTCTCAAGAAAAAAAAACCGGTTTGTTTCAGTGGCAGATTACGGTTAGATCAATTGAGGGACTTGGAAGACAAGGTGCATAAGTGCAGTTTTTGAAAAAATGAGATATGAATGATTTCACGCAAAACTAGTCATACTGCATGTCCTGTGAAAACTTTGCTCCCGAATTTTAATTTGTAAGTATCAAAAAGTCATTTTGAACTTTCTTTCCACCACAAGGATCCTTGAAATTGTTCGGCTTGCGGCATAAAAATAAGGGTAGAATGGTTGAAGTGGAGGGTACTACCGACCTCGAATGCAATCACCGAAATCTCTACAGCAATAATTTTCAGCCTTCAAGGATCTTGATGGCAGCGAATACAAACAACTTGCGCCAGAAATGGTTTTGTGGCTAGTGCGGCAATTGAGGTATTCCTCATTAGCTCTAAAGAAATCAGGTGAATGAAACAGTTCGGGTAAGAGAAACTTCATGTTAAAATTTCCTCAAAGATTCGAAAAAGGTGTCATGATAGATTTTGTGGCATTGTCGTGCATTCGAGCCGGAGAAAAGTAGTTTGCGGAATCAGAGCGGGAGAGAGAAAATAAAAATAATAAATCGATATTATTATTTATCATTTTCCTCTCTCCTTTTCGGAGCGCTTGTTACCTAGAAGCAAAGAGTGGGAGCGGAGAGAAATGAATAGATATTATTTATTCGGTGTGATTATAGGATGAGCGGATGCGCGGTGGACGTTGGAAACTCAGACGTCAAGTGGAAAGAGCAATAATATAATAAGCTGCCAACACAGTTCTTTGGATGTGACTGAGGGCGCACACTGGATCGTTCTCGAATAATACACTGAAGAGCAATAGTTACGGGCTCTCCAGACATACCGTCCGTTCGGGCTCAGAGGTCGACATTTCCAGGTGCTGAAGCCGTACCTTCGACTGCTTCGGGCGCTACACCTGGAACGCGGACGGCACGTCTATAAAGCCCGTAAATACGGCTTCCGCGGCCGGAGTTTTTTTTCTTTTTTTCAGTGTAATTCAACATTTTCTTTTGTTCCTCTAACATTTGGGTGATTTCACGATAACAGGAATAGTTAAAATATGAAATACCTGAGAAATAAAAGTGCACCAATTTTAACAGGATTTCATTACCTCATTCTAAAGGTATTAAACTTCCTTTTTCCAGCTTTGGCACGCTCTATTTTGATTCCGTGCAAAGTTAATTGATTGATAAACAAGCCATTGAATCAGGTATCAGCGCTTCCCGCGGGACTGCTGGAGGTCCACGCAAACATGGCGGCCCTGCCAAATTGTGTCGGTTACGTAACAGACACAGCGTAACCGACACTCAAAAATGTGAGATTAAAGATGATACAAAAGATGAAACTTGGCAATTCTTGAGTTATGAGGTGGAATTAATGCTGCCTTAAAAGTTTTCTAGACTTTGGAGACTTTGTTTAAGTTTAATACTATTAAATTAAGGGTTTTGCGTAGTGAGGAATTAGTGCTACACACGTAAAAATCACTGGTTTTCATAATAATTTAAGTTTTCATTGTAAAAAAAACTGACTTATCAGTAATGGTTTTGTCAAGAAGACTNCTTAACAAAGTATAACCTTAATTCAAGTTGGCGACTTGATTTAAAAAAAAAAATTAAAATTAAATCATATGATTTTATTACATTGTTGACAAGTTAAGAAAAAGCTTATCAACGATGAAAGCCAGAAACAAAAATGCGATGGCAAAAATAGCCATTGCAATATTTGCCGCAAAATCACATTCATAAAAGATAATTCCATTTCTCTCTCTTTATTTCTCTTTATTTATTGTAATGTGAAAAATTTGTCATATGAAATTACGTCATAACATTTTACATAAGATTCATTTAATACATATACAATTTCAGAAAAAATCATTAATAGTTGTTAATAGTTTCCCAAAGGCGAGCTCTCCAACACAGTAGTGTTGGAACCAGCAGCTTGTTTTTTCTTTTTTTCAGTGTAATTCAACATTTTCTTTTGTTCCTCTAACATTTACTTCAATTGCAGAGGTGTCCCTGGTAAACATTGGCTACAGGGTCTGCGTCCCAAAATACCATAGGAATTCTCATAGACGGCTATTGAAAGCGATGGAATCTCATATGCTCAGCTATAGAAAACGAAGAAAATCATACAGCCGGGCCATAAGAAGCGATAAAAAATGATGCAGCCAGGCGATAGTTCCTATTGCCAGGTTAAACACTTTTATCGCCTGGCTATAGCTTTGGCCAGGAACGGCGCGACTGAGAGAGAAATAATGTTGAGGACTTGAGATGAAAAGGAAAAACCCTCGGCGCGGCGATCGGCATGTAACACATATTAGCGCCTACAAGACTGCTTGAATACTTCACGCATTGCATCAAACACAATGCGGTCACTGCGGCCAGCGTGAAACGGATAGCGCCTACAAGAATGCATGAATACTTCACACACTGCAAGCATTGCGCCAAACACAGTACGGTCAGCGTGAAATGCATAGCGCCTACGAGACTGCGTGAATACTTCAAGCATTGCGTCAAACACGGTGCGGTCTGCGCGGCGCGGTGGCGGAATTTAAAATCATTAAACCACATTTATGTTTGTTCTTTCATAATTTTTTCGTTCATTTCTTATGAATGGAAGGCCTTGTCCACGCAGAGATAAGTTTACGAAACTTAACGTTCGCGCAAAGTTCGGTGAGTTTTTGCTAGTAGTGTTGACAGGGCTTTCCCAAAAAATGTGTCCAACACGAGTAGACGCGTCTTATGCACCCCACCCCCGCTTGCACGTTCACTTGATGGTTTTTATTGGTGTTTCAAAACGAATGAGAAGGGGGCGGCAAAATACAGGCGGCCCATGGGTGGCAAGTAGGTAAATCCGACCCTATGCATTTTGTTGTTTCGAACAAAACACGACTCTTTCACCGTGCGTAAAACAGCAGTTGGATGTCTCTGAAAACGCTCTATCTCCGGTCCACCGTGCGGCCGGCGCGGGAAATATTTGATGAATTCATTAGGTTATTAGACACGGTGAATTTTACGACAATAACGCGTTCGACGTCGACTGACGAGCGTCGGAGGCGCGGACCACCCAAACGCGCCCCCTCCCTCTCACGCCTTTCATCAGATATTTTTCCCCGTCATATCTGCCCACCGCGCAACGAACGTACCGAGTCCGGCCGGGAG